TGCGTCACTCAGTGCTACAGTCAAAGACGTTGCCTTTGAGCTATGGGACTCGTAATCGACCTCCTGTAGGACTGTAATGGATAATCTGATTAGATACTAGGTGGTAACTAGTGTCATGCGTCCAGTCCTTTGTTTGGTTTAATAAGTCTGAGTGCTTGGACCATAAAAGTGGGATAAATAAGCGTCACTGACATGAACTTATAAAAGATAATCAGTGTGCTATTGTCGAATATGCCTAAGACAGATTTCGCTAATCACTCTCTGCCCATAATTATTTATCAGTTAGTTAACTGATGATTAAACAGAATGGGTCACATTCTTATGAATATATTCTTCTAGTGTGTTAAAAGAACAACTTTAATAGGTTTACATGATTGTCCATAACTTTCAGTTGTGAAAAGACAGCTAGAATTGGTCTGTCAGTGTTTATCACCCACAGTCAGAAAAAACTGTGGGTTATGGTGTGTGTATGATTCTAGCGTTTTACTTGAGAAATTTTGATAAATCTAAAAGAAATATTCATGCTTTCATTATGTACTTGTACAACTCAACTGTTTGCATTTAATGAGCAACAGAAATATGTGACTGTGTCAGTGGTCCAGTCATAGAATACTCACCTATTAATCGCATTGTCCAGGGTTCGATACACGACCAAGGCACTCCTAACCTCACTTAGCTAGTTATAAACCCAGTAAAGAGAATAGGTCAGGCGTGAGGCTAGCAATTCCACCACGTAAACAAATAAACACCGGTGCTACTGAAACTTTGGAGGTGAAGTATGGATCCCTGTGTTTCACTTGGAACGTAAAGTAATATAATAATAATAATAGTGATAATAATGCATTATGCAGTTCTTACTGGTAGACATTTCATCAATTCAAATCCTTTGGGAAAGTCGAATCTAGACGTAAAGCCTATTGGCATTTGTTTACATTTCCATAGAATATGCAGAGTGATGGTATCCTATCTCTCATTTCGAGTTAGACTTCAACTTCCAGGGTAACTCTGAGGCCACAGAGATATGGGTAATGTAGTTGTAAAAAGGAATCGATCTTCACGTGATTAAAGATAAACAAACAACTTTTAGCGTTCTATTGGGTGTAAATAAACAAAAATCCTGCCTGATCTGTTGTTTGATATGTCTGCTAACACAATTTCAAACAGTATAACCCAATTATTTATCTTTCTAACAGTTTTTAGCTTTTAATTAATCCAATAATGTTTTATATACTCTGTTAAACCTTGGTTTATTAAGATAGCATTACGACATATCACACACCCTCTACCAGATTGTAGAAATAATAAAATACAAGTTTCTGGATTTGTTTCTATATGCCAGTTATTATTATGAGTATCGTCAACTGTATGTTGCTTTTTAGAAGCTTTCACTACACATTGGGGGAGCCTGTCATCAATAAAGTGGCAGATTCCCTGTCGAAAGTGTCCTACAGTGTAACAATTACTTGACTTAAATGTATTTGTTTATTTTTATGGGATGAGTTCGTTTCGTAAGTACATATTAGGACAAAAGTCATTTTCTCTGCCCACTTTGATTTTACTTAACCACTAGATCTTTATCCGGTTCTTTGACTGCATTCTTTGATACTTACTTATTGAGTAATATTCACAATGATGCCATTCATTTGATACTTGCTAAAACTACCGTTTAGAATACGCATTTCTATATTCGATACCTATAAATATATATATATATGTTCAGATGAAAATTTTCAGATGAGATGACTAGATATCCTGAATCTGAATAGCTTTTCCCATTAAGCAAGTGCCTTCAGTCTGCCTACATTTCAGTTTCAAATTAATATCAATATACCATTTAATAATATATCAGTTATAAATTATCATATTTTACTTCTGTAGTATTAATCACACTAGAGACTATCTACCGTTCTACAGACACAAACTATGTAAAAACAAAATATGTCATAAAATAAGTGATCTAACTGAAGACAGTAAACACCTGCGAATTATTTTCAGTAGCATTAATCATCTCATTACATCTGATCACTGGTGTATAAGCGATAACAGTAGTTTAAGTGCTATAGATGCAAGCGACTGTAGTGATATTAGTAATAATAATAATAATAATAATAATAATAATAATTGTAGTTAGAGGTAAGATTCCGTATGCGCAATGAGAAACCCAAAATTTATTGCTATGAGGTTTACAAGTGGATACAAATTTTTGTAGTTATGATAAGTGAAGTGAAGATAACAACTGAAATAAAGGAAGAGCCAAAAAATTTCAAAAAAGTGAATATTTGTAAAATTCTTTTCAGAACGGAAAGAAAGTGAATTCAGTAAAATGATTAGATAACACAATAGTAGTATGTTGATCGATCAGCAATGCTAAGCATGAAAAGGTGGGCGGAGACGGAGTGAGTGGGCAGGTGACTAGCTCTTTTCTGAACGTAGGCGTAGATCGTGACAATATAATGACGCTCAGCACTGTAAGCCATAAAAGTGGCTATTATTATGTTTATATTGACTACTTTAATAGTGACTGAAAACGAAATATTTAAGTTTACTTAAAAAGCATCGAATTCTGTAAGCACCTGATTATTTTTGTAACATAAAAACGAAGCAATTTTCTCATTTAGTCAGTGTGTTAAAGTCGGTAACTAACTAGAAAATAAAAGTTAAACAAAACACTGATATAAGAATAGAACTTGTGCACTCTTTTTTTTTCCTTCACGTTCCCTAGTGGAACATTGGGCTTGAAGCTAGTGGCTTGAAGTTTCTGTAGTAGTGTTCATTTTACAGGATGGGGTTGCTAGTCTCATGCCCAACCTTATCCCTGGCTTAGAGTGGTAAAGGAGTGCTTCGGCCGCGACTCGAACCCTGGAGCATGTGCATGGTCAGCGAGCGTCCTAACCGCTATGCCACCGACGTACTCTGATAAAATATAATTCCATTGTTGATAAAATTTATTTTGATAAAGTCTCACGGTGTTATACAGAAATATTTACTGATGACGTTTTGAGCAGAATTTATCGCTCATAACTTGATGTGATTGTGAGCAATAATTTGTGCTCGAAACAGCATCAGTAAGTATTGCTGTACAACACCATGAGACTTTATCAAAATAGATTTTTAACGCACAATAGAATTAAACAAAATACTGTTAACGTTTTGTGCTAGAAGACACGTTTGAACATAAAGTAAGATCATGAAAGCCGACCAGTCAACTTTCCAGGTATTCATTGTGTTCCCTCGCTTACCATTAACAAATTCAAGTTTGATCTTGCCTTTGTGCTTACTTCAAATCTCAAATGCTCAAGGGTTTCTCGGTGACTGCCCGTAAAGTAGATCTTGGAAACACTGTCAATCTTCAATTAGCATTATTTGCGGTCAGAACTATAATGCTATATGGCTGTCTTCTAAACCCTTACTTTTAAACCTCATCAAGAAAGATATCCTTGGTAGAGGCTCCTATCAAATAGATATTCTGGAAGCTATTCCTTAATTTCAGATCTTATATGACCATATAAATATTCCTGTGTCTATCTATTGACCATTACTTTGGATCTTAGAGCTATCGAAATTGAAGACGGGATTATTATTTCGTTGTATCATAAAATCTGGTGCCTACAAGCATACAGTGAGCAGATAAATTTGTCTCCATAATTGATTTTATTTGGCTTCTGGAGTTTAGGTCGTGTACTAAGGTGTACCTGGCTTGATTGCTTAGACAGGTACATGATCATCAAGGGGAACAACAACCTCATAAATATGATGACCTAGTTTCCAGGTTTTTGGCCCGAGCGAACTTACGGTATTTGGTTAATATTATTATCCTGAATCCTTGACGCTACATTCTGAAAGTATCAATTTCTCCGACACTGAGTTAGCAGTATTATCCTAGGCTTAGCATTCGGTGTAAGGAAGTAATTTTCAACCTTCAGTGGATGTTAAGAATGTGCTCATTTCGAAAAGGCAATATTTGCTTCCCGAAGTATTTACTGAGTAACTTTTATACTTATCTGCATTTCTAATCTTCATTACCACTTAATTAAGATTCGTGTTATTCGGCTTTTCCTCTCCAAATGTCAAGTCCTGCTATGTTTTAATAGCTACATTAGGCACCTAACTTTTTCAGTAAGCTTATCAGAGTAATAGAATTAAACTTAATTTTACGAGAAAGCTTTTGAGATGGATGTTAAACAAATGTTCAATTTTCCCCATTTGCCAAAGTTCCAGGCATATCTCGTCACACATTTTAGCAGTTTGCATGTTATATCTTTATATCGAGTAATAGATTAAATGTGCTGTCGACTTACAGGAGTAAATTTTCTGCTCTGTTTCACACCACAATCATCATTTATATACACACAATCATAATGCTAGTAGGACGGAATTATTTTATATATATATATATATATATATATGTAGAGAGAAGACCAGTAATTCAGCGAAAAGTCTCTTTTCGGCGAATTCATTTTCACAGCTATACAATCGCAATCATATATGTCGCTATTTTGTATGTGTATGTCCATTAAATTCGTCAAACGAAAATAGAATTAGTAAGTTTTTAGTGGAGTTGATTGTCTTCAAAAGCCGAGAGAAACATATTTGCTCCAATGAATTTTACCAGACAAGTATACATGTGTAATAGTAGGTTCAAAATATCTGAACAAAAGACTAGCTACTTCAGGTCTATTGACCTCTTGTAAAGTGGATCAGCAATCTTGCAAAATCAGTGTTACTGTTACACTTCAGTGCCGAAGAGGTAATGCTGTAGCCAGCAACTTGACTTCGACTGGACGCACCACAGATTATTCTGACGTGTTGTTTGCAGAATGAAATCCGCCACCCTTTACATCTATCAAATGCTCATAAGGTATTTAGTTTAAAAAATCAAAATCTGAAGTTTTTCTTACGTGAAAAGAGAGTTAAGTGTCTAAAATGATTTTCGTCTTGTTTTTACTTCACGTCCATTATTTTCTCTCAAACATTTCATCGTTTCTTGTTTTGACATTCAGAAGCGGATCAGAAATCTGATAAACAACCGATTACAAATCAGTCGACATGTGAAACAATGGAAGGAGAAATCGAATACGTTGTCGGTGATAATACTGGTGAAGGTGATGGTGATGAAGAAGGTGAGGATGACGAAGAGATCATTACGTCAGCAATGCCACCCACACAAATTGTTGACACTATCGTTACAACTACAACTAATCCAGACGGTAGCCTAAAACGTACAACAAGAAAAACAACACGTACTGTGTTAACTACAGCAAGAATACGTAAAATCAAAGTCAAAAATCTACCCTCTGATGGTGAATCAAGTAAATCTTCATCCACATCAACAAACAACGATTTAAACATGTCGAATGTAATCAACTTTACAAAATTGAATTCAGAAAAGTCCGAAGGCAAATCACTTGCTCAAGCTACATTGGCTATTATTCCCCCACAAACTGAAGTTACCTACCAAGAGAATGTCAAGCCTATCAGTGATATTGATGCAGACACTGCAGCAAAACTACAACAGTCTACTTCGAATGAAAACTCATCTGATAATGTGACACCCCAAAAGGCTATTACAAAGACAACAATGAAGAAAACCGTCAGTGCAACAGCAGCTACTGCTACTTTCTATGCTACAGGCAAGGATGCTATGAGTCCAAGATTATTCACAACTACCGGGTGAGTATTTAGTTCATTACTTACACTTTGTTTTAAATTTTAAATTTTCTTTTGAGTACATACCATGAGTTGCCACTAGATGTTATAGCACTAGAATCGATAAAGAAATCATAATGTTTTGGTAACTTTTACAGTCTATTTGTCTTCAATTTATGCCAGTTGGTTAAATGACACCAAGGGTTTCGGGCATTTTACATTCATTGGCTATATTAAACTAAACCTTTAAGTTGTTATTAGTTCAACTTTCTTCTGAGAAGTCCATTTTTAAGTATAATCATTCTGTTTAAAAAAGCTTTTCAAAGATAATCCTAAGCGGTACGTTTAAAACACTGGTAAATTAGCGCAATACCCATTTCCTTTTTTTTAATCCACGAATAGATTTATTATCTTAACAGCTAAATAACTTGTGGTTCTACTGTTAAGCATCCAAACTGTACCTGAATCAAACAAAAGAGAGAGAGAGGGACTTAAGCTTCACGTTGGTGTTTTCTATAGCACTATGAGCGGTACAACGTAACCTTTTTAAGCTTTTTCATGTTTCATTGCTAATGGATACCCAGTAGTTGTTTAAATAGTTACTTTTTAAATCGTCCTGTTTAGTTGACCATTTGTGGAAAAAGGAAGGTAATATTTATCAATTAACAGCTTGTTATTTATTGCCAGTTTAGGTGCTTTCCCACACTGTTCACTTTCTAATGGATGTCATTATGATGATCACATCTATCTGACGGATACAAAATCATCAAACTTTGAGTGTGGATGGGAAAAAAGTGTAAAGAGGTCATTCAATCGTATTCTTCTATTTAGAACGAGGGTTGAAATGTACTTTGAAAGTGGATTCCATATACTGAATACAAACCTTGACTCTCTCTTAATTATCTCCTTGAAAACCATCAGAAGACATCATTTGAAACCTAATACTATGCTCAAAAGAAGTGTGAGGATAAGTAACTGTCATAGAAATACTCTTATCTTCTCGGTATGTGTCTTCTTCTCCACTTATAATTATTGTTTACTGGGTTTGACTGATTATGTACATTTCTTTCTCACCATTCACCTACTTGTTGACAGTTTCTCGTAGAACTGTTTATTCAAATTCTGCGCAAATTAATTTTTTCGACAAAACTGAACAACATATAGTTTCATTTTCTTTTGTGGAGATTTAGGAATTCATTAATCTGTGGTATATCAGTGATAATATTTCTGCATGGGTGTTTCTTCTTACACTGTGTAAATTCGTGGAGGGAAACACGTATCTGAAAAGTTGAGAAATAGTACTTATAGAGAAGAAATGACTTTCATCGTTAGTACATTTAGTGGAGGTTGAGAAGATCTGCCAATCTGAAAGAGTGTGTAAAAAAGCAAAACTAAAATGTGGACTCATAGGAGTAACTGAATGAAATCTGACTGCACTGTTCGGAGATTTTACCTACTGTATCCTTTATTAATGCTCACCAGTGTTTTCACACACACACACAGTAATATGTTGACAAAGTCATCTAAGGACAGCGTTAATAATCGATTCTGCATTGGTATCTTTACGTCCAAATTCACGCAGAAACCGTCATTGAGCCGTCGAATGAGACTTTAGTCAGATATTATACATACTTGTGTAGCATACACTATGCTAAAAACTTAAGTTCATTTAAATCGTATCTATTCATTTGAAGACTGAACTAAATAAGTACAAATTTATGCCGTCTTTTTTTTATTAACAGAGCTACAAATGAAATGTTATTTAACAGTTGCAATAGTTCTCCTTTATTATCTACAAATGATGGTAATAAAGGATTAACAAAATCAACTATAAAAATTGCAGCTTTCAAGCGAACAAGCAATACATCACCGACAAAACGTAAAGCACGTGATTCCCTAACAACATCCGCTTCCACGACGACTACAACCACGACAACAACACTCGGAGCATCGTCAACTACAACGACAACTACTACGAGGAAACAAACCACAAGAGTTATGAATAATTTTGCCAGTAAAGGGTTAGTTTGTCTGATAAAAATAGATTGTCTATTATTGCTATTACTCTGTTTCTATTTGTCAGTACTAAATATCCCCAGGGGAGCATTCATATATTGCAGCCGAACGGTTGATAATAACATGATGCTATTTTTATACGCGTGTTTGATGCCAATGGTCTCAATTTTCTAAATTATATAAGTTGAAGCGTACAGTTCCTATAATATCTGTTGTGATCACTTACGTCAAATGGTAGATTATATATATATATATATGGCCTGTGATATACAATCTGCAAACCGTGCAACTTTGTTGGCAAATTGATTTCTTTTTCAAGTTTGATCAAGGATCAATATCCGTTAGAAAACCATTGAAAGCCAGGGGAACTGGACAATTGTTGCATCCTAATCCGGGACCCTTCATCAGTACGCACCCATGGCCTTATTTTCAGTGGTTCTCTAACTGATATTAATCAGCGATCAAACTGGAAACAAATCAAATCTCTACAAACTAACTGTGTAAAATTAATTTGATTTTGTTTAACACTGAAATTTAAAACATGGGTTCCATTTTATTTTGAACTTGTATCTCAAGGAGTGATGACATTTTCACTGGTAATATAATCTAGGAATTATCATTCGACATCTCTACGAATCACCTGCCAACCTTTTAGATGATAAAAGTGACGTCGAATGTTATTATAAATTAGATCACCCGAAGAAAGCTAGTCAGTTATGCGTGAATAGACCTACAGGAGACTTCAACTAGTCGTTTATTACTGACTAAGTGTTATAATTCGACTGGAAACCACAACTCCGAGAACTTTCAGACTTAATTAGTATTGAGACAGTTTTTCGATATACATCAGCAGGTGTTACCATGAATACCTACCGATCAAAAGTCAGATTATAAGAGTGATCTCCTGTATTTACTCTTTATGCTATTCAGTAGACACTTGGAAGTCGAGATCAGCTTTTATATCTCAATGCATTCCTTAGATTATGGGATTTTGTAAGGAAATGAAATAACTCCATTGTGGATTTCGTCACTAACCAACACAAGTAAGAGATCATTGAAAAGCGAAGAGTACTGGACATTTGCTTTGTCTTAATTTATCACTCTTCAGCAGCTCACATTTTCAACAAGAGAGATACGGAGAATGGAAATGTATTGCACACTAAGAGAACTGTGGTTTCGTTCATCACTAATTTTTACCCGCTATTAAATGCATTGAGATGGTTGCTTTCTCTGTGAAATCTCTAAATAAGTTTTTCTACCCTTAAGATCCACTCTTTGCTTAGAAATAATGTTGATAAAAATGAAGGCAGATTTCCTTCACTAACTAACATCAGTACGCTAACTATTACAATTTATAAACTACTAGACAGTTATTATGTCCTACGCTTGAACTCTGATAGAGTCTGTATCCATGATAACAGCTGGTGTTGAACAGGAAACCTCCACTTTGTGTGATGAGTACTTTGTCATGCAGCCAGTAATTTGGAATCTTATGGTTTACCTATAGTGTCATCATACCACTGAGTTGTCTTGGTACTTGGTTTGGAATGCCCTATCAGTCATGACTTCTCTTTAGGACTACTGTAAATCCATCTAAAAAAGAATCAGCAATGAACAGCTAATTGCAATTAAAGTATGTGACTGGATTTTGTAAAATGGTGGAATTCATGAGACACTGGATTACACACCAGTGTCTAGACTGTAACTGTGCTCACCTAGTAACCTGAAGTAAGTAACTGCGATCCTCGGTGTTGTTATGAGTGGTTATTTTTATACCTTTATATTCCTAGTGAAGCATAGGGCTTCAAGCTAGAGGCTTGAAGTTTCGGTAGCAGTGGTGTTAATTTCTACGGGATTAGGTAGCTAGCTTCATGCCCAGACTTCCCTACTTACCAGTCTCATTACTGGTTTTGGCGAGGTAAAGGAGTGTATCGTCGAGGATCGAAACCAGAACCAAACACTTAATTGGCGGACATTCTACCGCTGTACCACCGATACGTGCATGGTCCAGGTGGTCTAGTGGACAATGCTTTGGCATTCGAGACAATTAGTACTAGGTCCGAGTCTCTGTGGAAACACCGTCACTCACTAGGGAATGCAGGTACATCTACATGACGAGTTCCAAATAGGACAGAACGGGCGTCCTGTATTCCACTGCTAGACAACATCCACCAAACTAACCTGAAGATTACCCCAGAGATCAGGCTGAGTTATGAATGTGTACTAAGCGATAATCCCAAATTAAGGTGAAGAAAACATTTAGTATTCCAAGCTTCTCAGTGGTACATCAATTAATGTCTATCTCTTGCTGGAACATCATCTTTGAGTAAATGGTAAGAAAATTAAGTATATGCAGTTGTTTAAGGTAGAGAATCTCAGCAAGCTTCAAGAGTCGTAAATAACAAACTTCTTTTTATACTGATGCTCTTCATGTTCTCCACTGTTAAAGATTCTTTTTGACATAACTTTCAGCTGAGTTTTTCCTGTCAACATTTACATTATTTCGAAATTCATTAGTGAATTAGTCTTTACACTGATATGCTTGTAAATGATTAGAAGTGATCATTAGTAAACTGATTATTATAATTATCTAAAAGTTATTTCTTTTTATTCTATACTTCACCTGATGAACGCTTAATTGAATCTAACATCACAGTGAGTTATATTAAGCATTATAGTTATAGACATAGACTCATAAATTCTAGAAGTCTGAATTTGTATGTATACATACATTTTCTATGATTTTGTAATTTTGTCTCTGATGATTCCAATAAAAATGTTGACGTTTTATCAGTAGTACATTTATTAGCCATGATTAATCTGACGTCGAATACATTATTAAATGAAAAATTCTGTCAACGAAACGATGAGTAATGTTATAATTGTTGTTATTTCGTTTCTTTCTTTACATTCACTTTTGGCGAAATAATACAAGTTTTTTTTAATTTTCATTCATTTACTACGTCTCTGAATTGTAAACCCATTTGTGTTTAAGTCAGTTTTGTTCATCTAGTTGGTTGATTGAACCGAAGCGTTCGGCTTCCGTTGCTCCTAGTACGAACGCTTCGAAGATGTCTGAGGATTAACATTGATGGTGTTTGAATAATTGCAGTAAGCAGTGGAACCTACGTCCTATTTGGAACTCAAAGGCCGACTGTGCGTACAATCCTCATTGAGTAATGGTGTTTCCACTGAACTTCAGTGTAAGTCACCATGCACCAGATAAAATGAATGCTAATTTTCAGACATCGTTGAAACCTTCGTGATAGGAATTGACATGTCAACTGGAGCCAAACATTGTGGTTCAGTCAGTCAATGGGAAACATGAAAGTGATTGAAACAAAATGATAACTTACCCGCGTTGCTCAAGACTTACCTGTCATAGCCCAGGTGGTCCAGTGAACAATGCTTTGGCATTTCAACCAAGGTTTTCGGATCTGAGTCCCAGTAGGAACACCATCACCCACTTTTGAGTGCAGATGCATACAAGTGGCCAGTCCCGAATAGGGGGGAAAGTGAGTATCCTGGGTTGCGCTACCGGTCATTATCCACCAAATAACACCAATTGTAAATCCTGTTTCGAAGGTATTATTACTCTCAGGAGCAGTGTCATACCATTGCTATTGTTTGTCTCTGTTTCAACAGTGTCGTTAAATTTCGTGAGATTTGGAATTTCTCCATGGATGAAACATCTGTCTGCCCTAAATACACTGACTATGACTATTCATTCCTGAAGATTCCTTAAGACTTTACTCATTCGTATTGATATATTTGATTTATTTTAACCTGTCTATTATCTGAGAATTGAACTGAACATCAGGCTTCTAAGAATTTCAGGTTGTTTTTTTGTTTCCTTATCTAAAATTTTTATATTATCCCAGTAAAAGTGGTGCCCAGAATAAATGTGTTTTATGGTTTTTGATTGTTAGTTTGTGATCATGGATGCGAAGATGAACAGGACATTCGTTTTGGCTAGCACCATAATTCTGACAGTTAATGCGACTTATTTTACAAGTGACGTTGGTTTAGTCTTCTTTCGATACTGGGCCTATCTGCTTTTACAGTATTGATTGGAGACACAGTGTTGGTTTTTGTTTGACACTAATTCCAGCAGTGACTTTTTAAATTTTTTTTCAATTAAGGGAGGATTTCTTTCTGTTGGTCTTTTGAATTAAACGTCAATCTGAAAGAAGAATATTCTTTACAATAATTTCTCTTCAAGTCCTTACAATTATAAAATATAATTTATATAATTCACTTCACACATTGGTTATTTCATGATGAACCTTTTATTGCAGTCTTACTATCCCCTGTTTAATAAATACTGCTTTGTACTAGCCACTCACCTGACACCTTTTACAACCTTGAACTGACTTGTCAGGTTTTCCTACCCTACATTCTACGAATCTATTATGACTAATCACCAACATTGTCTCCCACTTCACAATGTTTTGTAATCGATTTCAGCCTAGCACGTTTGTCACAAGAATACAACTATTTATTTATCTATTTATTTTGACACCCCATAACTAATCTGTTACTCTACGTAAAGAAATGTATCCACCGCATAAAACTTGCCATTATTGCAGTGACAATGAATATTATTTTTTATAACTGTAAGAACCCGAAGAGAAATTATTGAAAAAATAATATTCTTCGTTCAGACTGACACTTGAAATTGGTCTTTTGAGTTGACGATAAGCATCCACTGACGACATTTTTGGAATATCCATTGCTGTTGAGGATGCTCATAAAGCATTTTTCTTCAGTTCATCTATTTACACTAGGTATGTAAGAACACTAATCATGATTGGCCAGTAGAGGAAAACATTTGTAGTTTATGATTCTGAATATGTTCTAGGTTTTTAGTTAATATAGATATTGTAAAGTTATAATTGCCAAAGGTTGGCAATAATTTCAAGCTGAATACAGATGAAAAACTGCTGAAACCTGCATTTCAGTTCCATATAACGCCAGAATTTAAACCCTTTAGACTTTGCAATAA